TCGAGACTTGCATTGCCAAACTACCCAGCAAAAAACACGATTACCACAGAAACGAAAGTGGAAACGAGCTAGGCGATGGGAATCGCTTACCGTTTCGCTTCAAGAAGGCCTTATTGTAACATGGGCATGTCATTGGAGGTAAGCCCTTACCCGCAGCATTACCTTCAAATGAAGGGAGAACGCATGGATAAACAGAATCCAGAGAAGCGAGCAAAGAATGCCTTACAGAGAAACTAATGTAGAATGCCTAGATAAGTACATACTTATTTATATTAAATTGAAATCAGAAAATGTCTTAAAAGGTTAAAATTAATTAAAATTTTTATAAATCAGCGTACATATGTATGTATTTAGGTATTTAAATTTTCTTTAAAATCGGTATGTACATACATGCATATTTAATTAAGCTTAAAATTGTACTTCCTCACTCTTGTACGTCACTTCATTGACTGACTTCAACTTCGCTGCAAATTGAACAAAGCAAAACATGATTTTTATGCGAGACAAATTTCCACAGAAAGTAACGGTAGAAAAAGAATTTTTGGATATTCATTCCATTTTTCAGCTGACTACGATGCAGCATTCTACTTTGCATTCCCCGAAATGAAGCAAAGAAGCGAAACGAATAAAATATTGTAGGACATTCTACTTTGCATTACCTGAAATGACGCAAAGAAGCGAAACAAATAAAATATTGTAGGACATTCTACTTTGCATTCCCGGAAATTAAGCAAAGAAACGAATTAAAAAATAAATATTATAGGACATTCTACTTTGCATTCCCCGAAATGAAACGAAGAAGCGAGATAAATAAAATATTGTAGGACATTCTACTTTGCATTACTGGCAATGCCTAAAAGAAGCGAAAAAATTCGAAGGCATTATAACGCTATGCCTTCTAGAACACGTTACCACTAAAAGCGATTACCGATTTTTTGCTGGGTAGTTTGGAAGTATTTAAATAGAGGGCTGGTCAATGCCTTAAGTGCAGCTTAGTTGTCACTGCAGTCACGTAAACTCCTTCGCCTCCACCTATGTTCCACCACTAAGTCCATGGCTTTGAGTATTGAAATTACCTCAGCCTGGAAGACTGAAGCATATTCCCCTACAGAAAAGTGAAGCTTATCTCCATTAACCTCGAAAAAGACCCCAGATCATGACCCAGAGTCAGTTTTGAAGCCATCAGTGAAGATTCGACAATGTGGGAGTCCAGTCTCAGCGACGAAATCAAACCTGCATTCAGTCTCAAGGAACTCAACATTATAGAATATTTTCAACAAAGGTGATGGTGGCGTACTATCCTGGTAGCATTGAAAAGACACTGCCGCTAGCAATTTACGCGGTGCTCCACTCATTGTTACACCAGCATCCGGTTTTCTTTAGTCTGCAAGTAGCCTTTAAGGCTTCCCCACGTATGAAAACACAAAGTTACGGAAAGTGCAGCAGTGCGTCAAGAGCACTATACGCCACTCAAAAAAATTTAAGTTAAATAATGAGGCTATCAAGCAACCATTTTACATCGAAACCAGATAAATTTTCGTGGACCCCATTTACAACTCATGGACCCCATATTATTTTCACGTCACCGTGGACCCCGTCGAGTCTTCCGTGGGCCCCTGGGGGTCCACCTGGGCCACTTTGGAATCACTGGTCTAGACATAGGTAACACTGCACTGCGCAATTGCATTAACCCCGTAGCTGGCGTTGCCACGACAACACCAATATATGAAAAGCGCTAGCGCCATTAAAACTGAGAAACATAACAGATAAGGCGAAATCGTTGAAAATCCTGCAGGAAAAGCTACCAGCTATGAACCAGAATGCTGCCAGTTTGCGTTTCAACCCAACTAGTTCTCGTTGTATCCTTTTTCAATGTTAGCCACCAGTATTTTTAACATAGCGGTGTCATAGGAGATGCCAATTGTCCGCTCCTGCATCAGCACTCTACCATTAGAAATACTTGTAGCATTATACCAGTTGACGGGATAGACTGCCAATTAATCCCCCGTGAAAAGGATAAGTATGCTATTTTGCTCGCGGCGCTGCAACAGTAGCAATGGCCAATAGAGCAAAGCTGTGGAGTTGGAATCTCAGTGAGCGAATATTTTTTTATTTACATATATTTGTTTTAATTTTTAAATTGTTTAGAAGTTTCACGAGATAATGTCATTTTATTTGCTTGCGGTATTACCTTATATATGTTTTGCTTAATCATTATTAGCGGTGTTATTTATGGACATGAATTATATTACACGGTGCTCAGACTATCGCAATATAATTTGCATTGTAGGTCGATTACCCTACTACATCTCGGCCAATCTGACCTTACAAGGGATCGTCCTCGATCCGTCTAATAGTCATTCATGTCACAATATTACTTATGAGCTAATTGTCTAAGTCCTTTCTTTCAGTGTCGCTTTCATTCGCACACTCTGTTTCTTTACGTTTACACAATTTAATGTTACATGCTTCTACAATGCTGTCGTATGGTATTTGCGTAATTTTCCCATTTTCAATATCTCGAATTACATAGCGGTCATGCGGAAGTTTCTTATGTATAATATACGGTCCCTTAAATTTCGATAGAAGTTTCTTATTCACCCCTACTGTGGTGTCTATATTTTTTATAACCACGAAGTCTCCTTCTTCGATCGTGGTCACTCTAATACCCTTCTGCTTACTTCGAGTTAAGTTATATCTTTGCAGTTTCTAAATGTTTTGCTCAGCAATCCTACGTATCGCTTCCACATCCCTCCCCCCCTCTCCCTGTCTGAAATGTATGCGTCTATGTATTCCGTAAGTTTGTCTATTGTTTTACCACTCTGATTCGCCCCAAAAAGGGCTTGGCTTGGCGTTATAACAATCGGCCTGTTTATGGAGTTATTTAAGGCACATTCGATTATAGCTATATATTTGACCCAATCAGCGTGTGTTGTGGGGTCACTTAATTTTGCTAGCATTCCTACTAGACTTCGGTTTATTCTTTCTACCTGCCTGAGGGGAGTGTACTGCTACTTTTATGTGGGAGATGTTTTTGTTCACCATATACTCTTCAAATTCTTTCGATGTAAAACAACTACCTCTATCCGTTATGCATCTTTGGGGTCGGATATAGTATTCGAAATATTTGTTAAGTTCAGCGGTTACTTCCTTAGTGCTGGTCGTTAGCAATCTGTACAATTTCACGTATTTGGTAAAAGCATCTTTTACGACCAGAATGTGTTTTATTTTTGAACGCAATGACGGAAGGGGGCCTAAGTGGTCCAGATGGATTGTATGAAAGGGCTTAGGGTGTTTAGGGATGTTGTTCAGTTGGCTAGCTCCTGCTCTATTCGGGGCGGAATAAATAATGCACTTGATCCAATTTTTCTTGAAGTTGTCAATTTTTTTTTTTTCATGTCCGGGAATCAGTAGTTTGAACTAATTTTCTGATAACATTTTTCAGTAGCCTGATGTCCTAGTTGTTCGTGAATGGTTCTTATAACCTCTGTTTCGAGTTCTTTAGGGACGTATAATTGCAAAATATCTTTATTTTTCCTAAATACAACTCCATTTTCCATCACAAAATCTTTCACATTATCGACTTCCAGTTTGTGTTTTAGCCAGGGTTCGGATCTACCCCAACTCACGAGAAACAAGCGAGCCTGTTTGCAAACGAGCACTCGCTAAGTACGAGCGCGCGAATTAATATCGTTTACACGATATGAGTTCAAAAAATATATGTTTTTTCTGCACGGTGAGCGTGCTTTCTTTATTTACATATTCTTAAGACTACTTTACATTTTGAATTCTTAGTTCTATTTATACTATTGAAATGCGGCGGTGGTTATCGCAGTGGAAAATTATATTGCTAGTTGTTTACTAGTCTTAATCTGTTGTTCAGCTTGTTTACTAGTATTTGTCCTTTGTTTAGTTTGTTTACTAGTCTTTATCTTTTTTTCAGCTTGTTTACTAGTATTTGTCCTTTGTTTAGTTTGTTTATCTTTGTTTTCTTGTGGGAAATTCCGTTTGGGTCGCTGCCTGATACTGGTTGTATCGATAACGCATTCGCTGCATGTTAGAACGTGTTATCTCGTGACGTCAGCGGTGGCCTTGCAAACATCCCTTAACTCTCCCCCTTGTTAAAAAAGGTGTCCGCACCTTTTACTGTTGTTGTATTGTGAGGTGGGTCAATTCTGCTTCGTATATTTCGTTTACGCGTTTTCTGTTTTTTACTTCCTGCCTTATTTTGTAGTATTGGCATATTTTGGTCGAGGAGTATACGAAGAGTGCTAGAGTTGCTAAACCGAGAATGCTATACAATGCAAATTTTACCGGATGTTCTTCTATAGGTATAATAAATTTATAAATTTTTTGTATATTCGTAAATTTGTAATCGGACTCTGAAGTGAGAATATTTAGGATTTCTAAATGTTCATTAGTGTTGAAGTTGAGGTATATTTTTTCATCGATGTTTGTGGATATGTTAAATTGGATAAGTTTCGGTCCTTTGATTGGATATCCGTTCCACGTGTGTTCTCCGTCTGTGATGATATTACCGTGATCTAATACTAATAAAGGTTTATTGTTTTTCCTTTTTGGTTGTTGTTGTTTCCGACAGGGTGGGTGTATGATGTATTATGGAACGAATTTCCGTCATCCCCGAAACGAAAAATGACACTGAAGATGGCACAACGCCGAAACCGGTTTATTGTTTTCTTGAATGGCGTTACATTTAGCTTCATTATCTTCTAAAAGTGCTGTAGTACAATTGTCCTCTGGCAATTGTTTACATATATTTATTCCTACATAGTTCTTACATTTAGCTACTCTAGTATATTTGTTGCTACATTCAACAATGTATTTGTCGGTAATTATCTTCCCATGTCTATCCATTAGTGGTGTTATATTATATAATTTACATTTGTTTGTTATAAGGGGGTATTTATAAATAGTTATTATGGCGGTTTGGTATTGGCAAATATGCATATCCGCATATTCTAGTATATTTATTACAGGTATATCAAATTGTTAGTTTGTTATTATTTCTTCAATATCATTTAAATTTAAAGTGCCTGAATAAAAATTTCCATTTTTTGCAAAATTCATTGTATTTGTGATGGCTGCAAGTTCTTGATAGACTTCATTTATTACAATGTTTTCTGATACTGTTGTAGGGTCTAAGGTTTCTAAGATTTATTCGAATTGGGAATTTATTTTTCGTGGTTGGTTGTTGTTTTTTATAAGTTGATTGAGTCCTGTTTTGATTTCTATTAGGTCATCATGGTCTGGTGTTCCTGTTATAAATTTTAAGATTTAACCTAAGAAATTTAACGATCTCCTGGCTCTATGTGATGTTGGTATTAGTTGTGATTTCAAGATTTCTATCCTGTTTATTAGAAAAGTTTCTTCCTTATTTTGATTCGTTGTGTACCGGTTTCTTATTATTTTTTCGTATGGTGCTAGAACTGCACACAGGTTAGCTATATGGTATAAATATTGTAAGTTCTCGAATAAAAAGGATGAATCTGTTTCCGTTAATACATATTTCTTGTTATTTAAATCGGTTATTTTGTCACTTTTAGCAATTCTTATAAGTAAGAAAAGTATTATTACGGCTCTGCACATTCTGCTTGTTTTCTAATATTATCTTTATGAATAACTTTACCTCTAGCTGTTAAAATTGTGTCCCCGTGATCTTCTTCTACTTAATGTTTATTATATTTCGTTGCTAACTTATTTCTTCTATCGGTTTTTACGTATATGAATTCACCTTTTTTGAATGTAATTAAGTGTCTGTTTTTGTTTTGATATTGCAGGAGTTTATCTTGTTTTTCTCTTAAAATATCCTTTATCTCAGGGTATTTTTCTCTGTTGAAAAAGACTTCTTCAGGTTTGAATCCTGTGGTGGAATGAATCGTCCTATTGTACTGTTTCACAGCGTTAAATAATTCTTCTCCCGGCGCTAGAGCTGTTGATAACTTAATTAGTGTACTATGTATGCGTTCAACTTGAGCGTCCGTCGTTGAGTGGTGTATTGGTGTAACTAAGTGCTGTATATGTAGTCTGTCGTATACTGATTTAGCTGTATGCCCATTAAACACATTCTCATTGTCTGTCATTAAATATTTTCCCTACAAGACATTGCTGAGCACTTTAGGCAAAAACTCTCACACATTTACACTTTTGTTTTTGTAGTACGGCATAAATGAGTAGTTTGACTATTAGTACTGAGGACTTTCTGATGACAACATTGAGGGGAAAGTACTCAAATTTTTCCCATGGCCTGAACGAAAATGAGGACTTTGATAAGCACTTTTGTGATTAGGAGTAATGATAATATGAGTACTCATATGATACTCAGCTGTCTTGTAGGGTTGCGTTAGGGTATATTTGTGTGAGTATTTCCTCAATGTGTTCGTGGCAGTTTACTTTACTTTGTAGTTTGCGTATGTAACAGTATTTGGAATATTTACAGATAGAACTAATGTATATGTTGTTATTCATATGGAATATGTCCATTTGTATATATTCGCCTACATGGGTTGGCATTGGGGTTTTACCGATTGGTTGTTTGTTAGGATGTCTCTCGTATTTATTTTGTAAACATATTTCCCAGTTAATTGACTCTTTTTTACACATTTCTCGAATAGAGGGCCAAAAATACTGAGTAAGTATTTCTTGTGCGTTGTTTTTATAATTCCTATGTGCTCTTTTGTGAGTTTGTATTATTATGTCTTTGTTCGTCCGGATCAGTTACGTCTTGAAGTTGTGTTTGTGCTACGACAATTTTACATGTAGCGAAAAT